CTGCGCGCGAAGTCGAGCACTTTACGGTAGCACAGTTTAACGAGGACCAATACCGCACACCCTCGGTCCCTACGCCGACTGATCCAAGTGGTCACCCACCCGCTCACTGACCGTAGGATGCTTGACTTCGGTGATCTGCTGGGAACCGTGTCTTAACGATCAGTCCACTGCGGGACCTTAATTTATGTAGTCGACAATTTTTACGATTGTTGACTTTAAAACCATTTCACAGAAAAAAATGAGGTCAGAAGGTTTGAGAAAACGATTTCGAATGAAAAACATAACAAGAAATTAAATAATATTTCATACGTATAAAAATATTTTTATATGTGTGTGCGATATTATGTTATAATGATATTACACAATTTCAATAATTTGTTTTTTAAAAATTTGTTTCTTACATTATGAAACTTTTGCAAAAATATAAGTCGGAGTCGAGCTCTCAGGAAAATCCCAGGTCGGAATCGAACATTTCAACTACTGACTCCAAATTTCTGGTACAAACTCTAATTTATGCAGTCGACAATTTTTACTATTGTTGACTTTTAAAACCATTTCTCAGAAAAAATGATATCAGAAGATTTGAGAAAACGATTTCGAATAAAGAACACAACAAGAAATTAAATAAAGACATTCGACTTTATCCCTCGTTTTCTCGAGCTAATATCTATCTATCAAAAATATATTCGAAATCACGTTTTCACCCGTCATTTTCGGGGTATATCGAATAAAAATCAATCCTACTTATCATCGAACGAATATGTAAAGGATGGTATTCGATAGGAGACATCACCCTATCGAAGATGGAATTTTCAACTTCCGCAAGTGATCGTTTGCATAATAGGAAGGAAGATACACCACATCCTCCCCCTCCCTTCATCCTCACTACTTTTCGAATGGAAGAGCCTCCGAACTTTTCAAACACACTCAATGGTTTCCAGGAGAAGTGTTCTTTAAAGGGTGGGGCAAAGAAGGGCAAAAGGAGACGGAGAAAATTCTTGCATATGTATGAGGCGAATTGTTGTGGCGGCAGTAACGGTCAGACCAAACAACCCCTTCAAACGAACTATTTTTAGAAAAGTTGTGCAATGCTGTAGAAACTGTAAAATGTGAAGTGTTAAAGGTGTTTTAATAGACTACAAAAGTCACGTTCTCTGAGAAAGATAAACATTATTCAGTAATTTAGGAAAATTGCTGACTTAAAAGCTGCGCTAGGATACAAGATTTTAACTACTATCATTAGTTAACTTTATTGAGTTAACTTTTTTTATTCATTCATTTTCATTAACACAATTTTTCGTCGGTGATGATGGAATGTTGTATTCAAAATTTCTGTCATTTTCGACTAATTCGAACACTTGAGCCACGTTGGCTCAGGAGATGGAGCTTCCAATCAGGTGAACCGGGTTTGAATCCCAGCGATGGCTGGTCGATACGAATTTCGCATCCGGCTTGCACCGACCGCAGTGCTGACGTGAAATATCCTCAGTGGTTGACGGATCATGAGTTAGACTCCCCTTGCCGTCAGGCTAACAGTGGGAGGTTCTCGTGGTCTTCCTCTCCGTGTAACGCAAATTCGGGTTAGTCCCATCGAAAAAAAGTCCTCCATGAAGGAAAATTTCTTCCAATACTTGATACAGGAGTTCCCTTGTCGTCTGGATTGGGTTCAAAATTATGAGGTTACGAAGTTGAACATGAGAAGTCATAAACCTAAAAATTGGGTGGCTGTTCAACAACGGTTATAAAATAAAATAATTAGAACACTTGAACTAACATCAGTAATGATATCACATCGGAGATACGAAAAAATTAATGCATCTAATAAATTGTTTTATGGAATTTTTAAAAGAAACAATTTTTCCAAAGTATTCTAAAAGGAATACAAAATGATGGAATTTGGCATAAGAGAACCCATTCGCAACTGTGTAAGAACTACATAGTACAAGATGTAGTGAAATTCATTAAGATACAAAGATTAAAATGGTCAGGACACCTTCATCAGAATATGAGAAAATAAAAATGTCAAAAAAGTTTTCATGGCCAAATCATATTGTGTATGAGCCAGGGGAAGAACAAAGCTACGATATATTGATTACTTTGAACAGGGTTTTAAAATACTTAAAATATAGGACTATAAAACAAGGGCATTAGACAGATACAAATAGAAATATGTTCTTGTTGCGACAAATAGAAATCGGTTTTTGAGAAGGCTGTAATCCACACCGGGTTGCGTTTTTCCACTCGGGAGTTAAACGATCTGCTCCCCAATTCAGCATTTTTTAAATACAAGATACAATACAAGATGGATACAAGATACAAGACAAGATTTTAAATACAAGATCGTGTAAATACTCCACTTCAGGTCGTGAAACGAAAAGATATCTCTTTAAAATAAAAATTTTAAAAAAACTTAATTTTGACGTTGTTTTAGTTCATGTATCAAATTTCGAAAGGAAAAAAAAGTTTGTATTAAAATAAGGACTAACTACAGTCATGATTAAAATCGCCAAAAAAGAGGGCGAGTCTTTAAAGAGTCTCTAAATTAGCCACCGGGTTGTCGCACCATTGAAAAATTCTTAAAACACTTAAATCTCAACTGAAGCTCTATGCTAAATGAAGCAAAGAAAACGATAAAATAATTGCGCCATGAAGAAAAATAATAAAAAAATAAGTTTTGAAAGCAACGTTTTACCAGAAGACTTAAAAAAATGCAAATTAATTTTATTTTTGTCACACCTAAGCAGAAAAAAAAGGAAGAAAAGCACAGAGCGCATCATTCAAAACTTGAATAATAAACTATCAGAAATATTATTTAAGAATTAACATAGAAATATAAATAGAAAAATAGCTCATTTGATGAAATGGAAGCAAAATGATTTTTTATTCAAAATTTCAATACAAAAACATGTGAAAATGCGGAACTTTGAAAAAGTATTTTTGACTGCATAGATCGCGTAAATACTAAACTGCAGGATACTTTACTACTTAACGAAAGCAGCCAAATGGCTGCATACGTTAAATTACTGTAGGAAAGATTTTTAGAAACACAATTTAGAGTTTTGATGCCTGGCCAAAAAAAATAAATAACCCTCGAATTCGAGTTATTATTTTAGCTAAAGATATCTGTCGTTGAGCAGTCGACCCAATTTTCGAGTTTGCGACTAAAAATACTCATCGCCGTAATTTTGAACTCAGTCTAGAAGACGAGGGAATTTTTGAATCAAATATTAGGAGAATTTTATCTTCGTGGAGGACTTTTTGATGGAACTAACCCGTATTTGCGTTACATAGAGAGGAGAACCACGAAAACCCCACACGGTTATCCTGACGGAAAGAGAACTCAACCCATAATCCGTCTACCGCTGAGGATACTTTACGCAAAGGTCAGTGCGAGGGGGTTGCTGAATTCATATCTAACAGCCACAACCGAAATGCGAACCCAGTGTACCTCATTGGTAGATAAGCGCTCTATTCTCTGAACCACCATGACTGTAACAAAAGGTTTTAAAGCAATTGCTTTAAAGTTATATATTCATCCTTAAAATAAGTTTTCAAATATTTTAAAGTGTGTCGCATCAATTCGTCGTGGTTGGATGGTTTAGGGGGGATTTTGATACTTCTCTAGCCGATGCCTTCCAAAATTTGTTCTAAATTTTCACCCAATACACCTGCTTGAAATAATGCGACATCGTAACCATATTCATCGACAGAACTCCAAGCGATTGACGAATGAGTTCTTGAGATAGGCAGATTGCCGTTTAACTCTCGTTTCCTTCGGCAATCAGACTAGGTTAGTTGTTTTTATCACCTACCTTCTTCACTAGAGAAGGTTTTTTTTTTAAAAAAATTGGACCACGTTTTTATTTTGGGATTAAATATCAATTTACCACCCTTAATGAGCATAATTTTTGCCTTAATGTTTTTCAATGATTTCAAAAATATATAGTAAGAGGAAACAAATACGGAATATTTATTTTTAAGGATGCTATCCAGGATCTTGTTTAAAATGCTCTGGGTTGCAAGAGAAAAATAAATGTCTCTTATTTCCTTACATTCTTCATATTCCACGGTATTCATCAATTTTAACGTCTGAATAAAGGATGAGACGTCGGAAATCCAAATAAATAAAAAAGCATGTTGACGGCATTGTAATTTAATCGAAAATAAATTATTTTTCCACACTCTTTATAAAAAAATAGGATAGATTATAAATTCGATCGAGATAGAAAGCACGCAGACGACCGATCGAGAGGGGCAATTTTAAATTGAATCCCCCGCTCGTCTCGAACAAGAATGAAATCAGTTAAGAAAGAAAAGTATACCAATATTTATGCAAATTTTATTAACTTCGCAACTCCTTTTAGGTCCCTGCGAATGAACCAGATGGTGTTAATATTTGAAATACATTTTACAAAAGGAGAAAAATCGTTTGAAGTTTAAGCAAACAGTCTTTGGTGCTTTAATAAAGAGAGCTCCGTTAGATGGAGTATTAAACTTATATTCTTATAGGTTAAAAGAAAATGAAAATGTTCTAAAAAGTCAGCTTGCTAATAAGCGATTATGAGGTTCGGGTTTTTAAGCGGTAAATTATATTACCATAAATAGTTCATTCATATTTAAGTTTTTTTTTTCATTTTTATAATGTTTTTAATGTGTTTTAGGTATTTAATGTTCTTTATTATTGTGTTTAAATAATGTAGACCCGACAATTCTATTTATACCTAAGCAAACTAATTAAGTTTTAATTTTTAATTAACTATTTTTAGGTAAGATTATACGAGACTATACCGCTTTGCTGTGCAATGGAAAAATCAAAACTGAAACAAAAAATATAAATTAAATTTTTTATGTAATTTGCATTTTCGTATGTAATTGTAAAACCACATATACACTGTACACCACATGCCACGAAAAATTTAAAAATTAAATTTTTTATCGAATTCGAGAAAACTATTTCACCAGTAATAGTGACAGCAATGAAAACAAAATAATTGTCAAACCACTTTTCACGAAATTGATCGTAAAGTACTTACGTTATTTTTTTTTTCAATTGCGCGGCAGTATACTCTTTGCAATTAAAATAGAGGTCTTAAGGTCACGTGATTTCACCATCTCCTGCACTTTCCTTCTGTCTGTTACCATAGTTTCAACAAATCTTATTTTTTCCCATGCCAGTATATTCCAACTTCTAATTACGACATACTGGCGGAGGGGGGGGGGAGATGATTGGACAGAATCATAGTAACGGAGAGGAGGAAAGTGTAGAGAATGGGGAGATCATGAAAATTTGAGACGCCAATTCAATTTAGGCAGAGCCTGGCTAAATACCAGTTTTTCGTAAAGAGCAACTAATCAGTACATCGGTGTTAATAAAAACTGCGCAAAAGTACACAAAACTGAAAGGCATGCACAGTGCACAAAATAAAAAACATATCCCCCTCAATATTTTTGCTCTAATGATCAGATTTTCACAAAGTAAGTGCCTATCATTATTGTTCAAAAGGGTAACTTCCCATATACTACTTAATTAGTGTCATATACTAATTAATGTGCAAAATCGCATTCTCCGAATAGACAAACAAAAGCTTCGACGGGCTTGAATTTTTGACTATCCAAGTCGTAGCCTGGAAAAGTGGTTTCCACTAATTTAGTCTGGAGGTAGGTCGAAAGTTTGATGCCTTTAAAGTTAATTTTCTTTTTTGCATATTTTACCATACCTCGGGTGTTTTTTAAGCGAATCAAAAATTGGTGCGGATAATTTACAAGTTAAATTATTCAAAGAGAATTGTAAAATAAATTTTTATAGATTTGAAACAGTAAGGAGCTTTGCTTACTTAGGATCAATTATTACCATTGACAACAGAATTATTCCTGAAATAAAAAACCGACTCTATCTGGCAAATAGGGCTGTCTATGGGCTGAGAAGATTTATTAAATCTAGATTTCTTTCTAGAGAAACAAAGTTCTTAATCTACGAAACTCTTGTCCGGCCAGTCTTGACATACGCTTCTGAAGCTTGGACAATGACAAAACAGGTGGAAAATTGTATCGCAACATTTGAGAGAAAGATTTTGTGGAGTATAATTGGTGGTGTAAATGAGAACAATAACTGGAGAAGGAGATTTAACTTTGAACAGTACAAGATTTATAAACAACCTGATATTATTAAATACATAAAAATAAATAGAATGAATTGGATCGCCCACGTGATTCGAATGAGTGATGACAATGCAATAAAAAAGATACTGCTTTTTAGATTCACTGGAACAAGAAAGCGGGGAAGGCCGCAGTTGAGATGGGCTGACTCAGTGGAGTCTGATTTTCTCGCAATTAATGAAAGGAATTAGAGATCAAGGGTGAATCAGAAGTCGTCATGGAGAAATCTTCAGAGAAAAACATTGGCTCGCATTGGACTGCCTGGCCAACTATGATGATGATGATGATTAGTTGTAAAAATAATTTTTGTTTTTATAATTTTTAATTTTTTAAATTAGTAATGTTAAAAATATTTTGAATTGTAAGGTGCGCAAATTATGTGTTTTTTAATTTTTATAACCAGACAAATCAAGTGAAATTGTTCGAATAGTTCTTGAGGAATAGAATTTTAAAAATACGACGCATAACTCAGCTATACAACTAATTTTACTAAAAAATTCAATATTTTTTAACACTCATTGAAAAATAATAATGGTCAAAAATCATTTTTTGCATGGAATTATCTTTGGTAAAATAAATTTCATAATTGTGTGTGAAAAGTTCTCGAAGCACTTTAAAACTTTCCGAGTTATGGCTGAACATGCAGGAAGTAAATTTAACATTAAGAGGGCAAAATTTTCAACAGATCCCCGGCCAAACCAGCTGGTACAAATCCAAATTGCGCTTAACCCCCAAATTTTGATGATCAATAATCCAAATTCGTTTTTTAAAAAAATTATGTTAGTTGTAACATTTGGTATGTTGTAACAATTAAAGTTTGTATTTAATTTGTGAGAATCAGATCTTACTGAAGGCGATATATTTAATTTTATTCTGTGCTCTGAACCAGAACCAATAAAAGGCCGAATTAATTTCAATTTTTATAATGGTACCGTTCCCGGAGACTTTATGTTATTAGTTTAATTAAAAACACTTATTTTGAGGCTAAACATAATAAAGCTCTATTATGCTTTCTCTTATTCGGCATATACAGGCCAAAAATGATACATCTTATACCCACTGTATATAATCGAAATTAAAGCAGAAAAATGATGCCCCTGGCATGTACTACTTGGGGATATACGAGCCAAAATAGATGCCCTTGCACCCACAGTAAGGGTTAATGCAATCCAAAAATGATGCTTTTTGCACCCGTTATATGTAATTGGGGTTAAAACAGGTCAAAAATGATTTATTGATTGCAGCTAACTCATAATAATCCAAATTTGCACCTTACAAGCAAATTATGTTTTGATGCACTATTAAATTGTTCTCATGCGTCATTCTCATCATTCTGTGTCAAAAACAATGCAAGTTTATTCAAAGAAATGCATTTTTGTATCGGAATTCCTAACTTAAAAATATCGAGAATCCAAATTCGTCTAAAAAATGCGTTTTCAGAGAATGTATATTTTTATATCGAAATTCGTGATTTAAAATATCGAGAATCTACATCCGTCTAAAAAATGTGTTTTCAGAGAATGTACATTTTGGTGTCGGAATTCGTGACTTAAAATATCGAGAATCCAAATCCGTCTAAAAGATGCCTATTCAGAGAATATACATTTTTGTGTCAAAATTCGTTATTTAAAATATCGATAATCTAAATGCGTCAAAAAAAATACATATTAATTAAGAAAAAATACGTTTTTGTGTCTGATTTCGAAACTTAATGCACTAATTAATTAGTACATTTAAGGTTAAGCTTGCATTCTCGTTCGAGACCATCTTATCTTAACAACAAACATTATTAAAATTTTGCGTAACCGCCTTTTCTTTGCGCACCATTATAATTGACCCGGTCAAGACGATACTAATGTTCATTCCTGTTCTTTTAAAATGTGCAATATTCAACTTAAAATAATTTATATATATATAAATAAATGCAAGAAAACACTAAGAAAGTTAAGAAAAACAATAAGTATCATTTATTGCGCTTAAGCTGCAAGTAAACAGCACTCATTAGATAAGTTCAAAATGAAGAATAAAACAAAGAAAAATTATAGACATATGAAAAAAAGGGGGTGGGAAATAATAAGTAAAAAAATAACAAACAACATTTTATTTAAAA